TACGACAGGATTTATACGTGCTCATTCACGGATGTTTAACAAGAAGTAACACACGAATGTATATTATCTATGATTTCGTATGAATGCTCGAAACATGAATGTTTGAAATATGAACGTTCGAAACATGAATGCTCGAAACATGAATGCTCGAAACATGAATGCTCGAAATATGAACGTTCGAAACTTGAATGCTCGAAACATGAATGCTCGAAACATGAATGCTCGAAACATGAATGCTCGAAACATGAATGCTCGAAACATGAATGCTCGAAACATGAATGTTCGAACTCAAACCACACTCCAGAAAATGAAGAGATGACAGCGTTTCGGTCCGGCATGGGCCCTTATCAAGTCGACTGTCTCAGCACTTCTCTGAATGATAGCAGGATTGAATGATAGCAGGATTGAATGATAGCAGGATTGAATGGTAGCAGGACTGAATGATAGCAGGATTGAATGATAGCAGGATTGAATGATAGTAGGATTGAATGATAGCAGGATTGAATGGCAGCAGGACTGAATGATAACAGGATTAAATGATTAACAGGTTACAATGACTCTGGCACAGTAACAACAAAGTCAAGCCGAAAAATAATGACAGTACAATGACATTTGAAAAACTACATACAAGATACACATATAGGGAAACCATGAAAGTAAACTAATATTTTTTATATATAAAACCACTTAAGAATTAATATACAGTTTTGTTATATAATGTAATTTTTGTTTACAATGAATGTAATTAAATCAATGTGAGTAGGGGAGTCTTCGTTAAATTAAATATTCCTCCCACCAGGCAGAGAACATAATCCTGTTTACATTATCAGAACACATTAGAGATAGGAGACTGTATTCCCCCAAGGTCTCTGTAACAGAGGAGATATTAAAGATTACAACTGTAAGTCTGATTACCGCAAGTGGGTCTGATTACCCCCCCCCCAGGCGTTCCACACACTCAGAATAACTACCATTCCTTCCCATCGTCCCATCCCAAATCCTTATCCTGACCCCTTTCCAGTGCTATATAGTCGTAATGGCTTGGCGCTTTCTGCTGATAGTTCCTCCTCCTCCTCCGCTTCGCGCTCACACCAAGATGCAGGATGTTCTATCAATGAACAAATACACAAGGGCCGTGATGAGGGTTCGAACCTACGTCCGAGACTATCCCAGACGCGCCTTAGTCGATTGCGCCATGACATGGCTAAAAGAATTGCAACCGAGAGTGCTACTGACCTCACACGCATTCTCTCAACGGATTCTTACTCATAACACGGGCTTTATTTATTTGCCCAATCACTTGGACTGGACGGTAGAGCGACGGTCTCGCTTCATGCAGGTCGGCGTTCAATCCCCGACCGTCCAGGTGGTTGAGTACCATTCCTTTCCCTCCGTCCTATCCCAAATCTTTATCCTTATCCGTTCCAAGTTCTATATAGTCGTAATAACTTGGAGTTTTCCACTGATAAATAAAATATTAACGAACGGTGATAATCGTAGAAAGCCACAAAAAAGTGATATTGAGACCAGCAGTGAAAATAATATCTTCAACAGTGAAAAATCTGAAGTTTCAGGGAACTTGACACAACTGTGGTCCCGGGTTCGATCCCGGTCGCCGGAGAGAAACAATGGGCAGAGTTTCTTTTGACGTGGTAGCTTATATGTACTATAAGAGTTCTTATAAGAGTTCTTATAAGAGTTCTTATAAGAGTTCTTACAAGAGTTCTTACAAGAGTTCTTACAAGAGTTCTTACAAGAGTTCTTACAAGAGTTCTTACAAGAGTTCTTACAAGAGTTCTCACATTCTTGTACAGCCACTAGTACGCGTAGCGTTTCGGGCAAGTCCTTAATCCTAATATTCCCTGGAATACGACCCGCCAAATCGTTTAACAACCAGGTACCCATTTTACTGTTGGCTGAACAGAGGCTACAGTTGAGGATTGACGCACCGGTAAACCCTGCCCAGCCTGGATACGAACCCAGGCCAAAGCGCTCGTGAAGCGCCGAGCGAATGTTTTACCACTGCACCACGGGGACTGCAATTAGACTATTAGGATTCACTAAGGTATAATTCATAGACAAATTCAGGAACATTCAAAGTAGCTCGGAAACTCTTACAGGGAGAGCTCCGGAACGTTTGTGAGACCCTAGGGAACGTTTGTGAGAACCTAGGGAACGTTTGTGAGAACCTAGGGAACGTTTGTGAGAGTCTAGAGAACGTTTGTGAGAGTCTAGGGAACGTTTGTGAGAACCTAGGGAACGTTTGTGAGAGCCTAGGGATCGTTTGTGAGAGTCTAGGGAACGTTTGTGAGAGCCTAGGGAACGTTTGTGAGAGTCTAGGGAACGTTTGTGAGACCCTAGGGAACGTTTCACCATGTTTGACTTCTCGATCAGACTGTAATAATAAGTGAATAGCAAGATAATTGGTACAGCTGATACATCAAGACCATCAAGTCCTTATTTTGCAATCTCGCATCATTTTAAAAATACAGGAAGATCCGAACCGGCAGAAAAATCTATCTAGCTCAGGAAAATAACTGGGCATATTAGATAAAATATTCTTAGTCTATCTTCTATCACTTGAACAGAAGATGGATTATCAGAGCAATAGCTAACCACTCTTGCAATCCCCCTTCCCATTTATAAATGGACGTTCAGATAAAAACTCTGTGAGATCTAGTGGGTTGAAATAATCCAGTCCATCAACTTAACCACTAATACGTGACCGGAATCTGTATTTATTGCACCCTTAAAACTATTCAGAATTATTAGTCTTGGGGTATTATATGTGGCCCTCATTACCGCGGCCCAATATGTGGGCCAATATGTAAATATGTGGCCCAATATGTAAACAATATGTGGCCCTCAATACCGGAGGTTAAAACAGTCTAGAGTACACTTTTATAGGCATAACCCTGGAAACACAAACCGTAATTGTCTCTATTTTCCGCTTGTTACAACTTATAATAAAGTTGTTACATCTTGGCTTAACGTGTTTATGACGTATTAGAACGTTGTTACAACTTGCTATATTGGTTGTTATAACTGGTTAGGAAGTGTTAAAACTTGTTCGAACGTTGTACCAACGTTGTAGTTTCGGTGTGTGTTTGGCGGGAAGTGAAAACACCTGAAGATAATTTAGCTAAATAAATTTATATACCCTCTAGCCTGGTCGAGGACCGGGCCGCGGGGACACTAAGCCCCCGAAATCATCTCAAGATAACCTCAAGATAACAACATTCAGTATATGTTATGTAAAGCAAGCGTGTTTTTAAACTCTACAAGAGACAAGCTCATCAATCTGATTCGGTTTGGTGTTGAAATTAAGGACAATCATCTTAAGGAGGGTTGTTAAGGTCACTACAATAGCTTGCTGATCAAGCAACAATTATACAATAGTCGTGAACATGTTTTCATTAGTCATGTTTTCAAAGAGATACCAATTGTATTTTACACCTAAACTGATAATGCTACTACACTAATAATGCAATAAAATGATACAACCAATATATCATCCCCCAGATTACACCTCCTGACGAATACAGATAACATTCGTCACTGCTTGTCAATAAACGAGTTATTAAAATATCGATATCGTGCAGAGGTGGATATCGATAGCGATATGCATATTCATATTCCATATCCATATGCTAACTGAATTTTTGTAACTATTGAATCCTGTCTTCTGTTTGGTCTAGTCGGTATAGCGACGGTATCGTTTTTTGCAGGGTCGAGGTTCGATCCCCCGATGGTACAAATAGTTGGGCACCATTCGTTTACCTTTCAAATGCTGTATAGGTATGTTGGCTTATCTCTTTCTCCTGATCTTTCCACTATCTGATTGTGTGTTCTGTTATAATCTGCATCCACCTCACCCTGAAGGACACAATCAGGGATCAACAATCACCAATATACAATGACAAACATTCATATTATTTTCCTATCAGTGAACAATGTCAAATAACATTAGTTTGGACAATTAAAAATAAATCCCAGTGACAACTCTCAGACATAATTATTTATATAACACCACTGGGAGTAGCCCCCATCATCACGGAGATGTAGGCGTCTGACCCACAGCTATGGAAGCAACGTATTTGGGTGACAATTGAGGACAAATTTGGGTGACAATTGTGGACAAATGTGGGTGACAAATGCTGTCAAAAACACATATATAACACAGAGGCAGCGTCCATAACTAATTTCCACTGATTCAAAATTAATAACTAATTTATTTTTATCAATTTGATCAGTTGGATAAACTTTCATGCAAGGGATACAATCACTGAGAGGTCCATTTTATCGGTGAGGACGCCCCATAACTTGTTTAAATGCATTTGGTCAGTTCACACCCACATGGAGTGACGTAGGAGCTTTTAACTGATGAGAGTGTGCTTGTGTGTGTGTGTGTGTGTGTGTGTGTGTGTGTGTGTGTGTGTGTGTGTGTGTGTGTGTGTGTGTGTGTGTGTGTGTGTGTGTGTGTGCGCGCGCTTGGGTGCTGACAGATACTCTCTACTGACGACTGACACATTTAGATGATGATAGATACCCTCACTAACACATACACTCAGTTGAGATAACAACAATTATTATACCCATTCGAGCTAAGAGCAAACAAAACCCTTAACATGGATAAAACACCTCACGACCAGCAAACAAACCCCATAACATGGATAAAATACCTGATAGATACCCCCCAAAAAATCTACCCTTTTCCATCCCAATAAATCGCGTAAACCCAGGTGAATCTGGACGGCCAAATGTTAGCTCGTGTTAAAGTTAACGAGACCAAGTGCATTACACAGGTACCTTACTGCCCCCCTTTACCTAAAGTAAAGGTTAATACCCTGGTCTTATGAAGGTGGATCTCGCGTCTTGCAATCAATACAGCTCTAAATATCGAGAAAGGTAGGTAATGACTATGTTTTTGTGGTTGATAGACGCTTCTGGGGCACGCCACCTGGTTTCTGGAGGAGGAGGAGGAAGAGGCATAGTGACCGCTAGCACTCTCTTCGATCGGCCCTACCAGATGGGAGGCCCAGGGGGTGTATTTGTGCACCAGCTGGGGAGGGGGGGTGATATACTTGCTTGTGCACCAGCTGGGGGGAGGGTGATATACTTGCTTGTGCACCAGCTGGGGGGAGGGTGATATACTTGCTTGTGCACCAGCTGGGGGAGGGTGATATACTTGCTTGTGCACCAGCTGGGGGAGGGTGATATACTTGCTTGTGCACCAGCTGGGGGGAGGGTGATATACTTGCTTGTGCACCAGCTGGGGGGAGGGTGATGATACTTGCTTGTGCACCAGCTGGGGGGAGGGTGATATACTTGCTTGTGCACCAGCTGGGGGGAGGGTGATATACTTGCTTGTGCACCAGCTGGGGGGAGGGTGATATACTTGCTTGTGCACCAGCTGGGGGGAGGGTGATATACTTGCTTGTGCACCAGCTGGGGGGAGGGTGATATACTTGCTTGTGCACCAGCTGGGGGGAGGGTGATATACTTGCTTGTGCACCAGCTGGGGGGAGGGTGATATACTTGCTTGTGCACCAGCTGGGGGGAGGGTGATATACTTGCTTGTGCACCAGCTGGGGGGAGGGTGATATACTTGCTTGTGCACCAGCTGGGGGGAGGGTGATATACTTGCTTGTGCACCAGCTGGGGGGAGGGTGATATACTTGCTTGTGCACCAGCTGGGGGGAGGGTGATATACTTGCTTGTGCACCAGCTGGGGGGAGGGTGATATACTTGCTTGTGCACCAGCTGGGGGGAGGGTGATATACTTGCTTGTGCACCAGCTGGGGGGAGGGTGATATACTTGCTTGTGCACCAGCTGGGGGGAGGGTGATATACTTGCTTGTGCACCAGCTGGGGGGAGGGTGATATACTTGCTTGTGCACCAGCTGGGGGGAGGGTGATATACTTGCTTGTGCACCAGCTGGGGGAGGGTGATATACTTGCTTGTGCACCAGCTGGGGGGAGGGTGATATACTTGCTTGTGCACCAGCTGGGGGGAGGGTGATATACTTGCTTGTGCACCAGCTGGGGGGAGGGTGATATACTTGCTTGTGCACCAGCTGGGGGGAGGGTGATATACTTGCTTGTGCACCAGCTGGGGGGAGGGTGATATACTTGCTTGTGCACCAGCTGGGGGGAGGGTGATATACTTGCTTGTGCACCAGCTGGGGGGAGGGTGATATACTTGCTTGTGCACCAGCTGGGGGGAGGGTGATATACTTGCTTGTGCACCAGCTGGGGGAGGGGTGATATACTTGCTTGTGCACCAGCTGGGGGAGGGTGATATACTTGCTTGTGCACCAGCTGGGGGAGGGTGATATACTTGCTTGTGCACCAGCTGGGGGGAGGGTGATATACGTGCTTGTGCACCAGCTGGGGGGAGGGTGATATACTTGCTTGTGCACCAGCTGGGGGGAGGGTGATATACTTGCTTGTGCACCAGCTGGGGGGAGGGTGATATACTTGCTTGTGCACCAGCTGGGGGGAGGGTGATATACTTGCTTGTGCACCAGCTGGGGGAGGGTGAGGGTGATATACTTGCTTGTGCACCAGCTGGGGGAGGGTGATATACTTGCTTGTGCACCAGCTGGGGGAGGGGGGTGCACCAGCTGGGGGGAGGGTGATATACTTGCTTGTGCACCAGCTGGGGGAGGGTGATATACTTGCTTGTGCACCAGCTGGGGGGAGGGTGATATACTTGCTTGTGCACCAGCTGGGGGAGGAGAGACAGAGGAGAAAACCATCATTTGGGAAATGGGATTTTCATTCTGTACACTTGCTAGAACAATAGACGTTTGTTGGGCTGCAGGCTAGTACCTGGAGTGTGCCTGGAGAGGGTTTCTGGAGTTCTTCTATTCCCCGAGCCCGGCCTGGAGCCCAGGCTCGACTTGTGATAACTTGGTCCAACAGGGCGTTGAGAAATTTGTCTGTACTTAAGTAGCTGCGAAATGCAAAACCGGAATTTTAAGTCAGAATTAATACTGTGGTGAGATATCAGAGGTGAAATGGCGTTTTTGTGATCCCTAACTGTACGTTGACCTACTGAAGCTGATTCTGGATGGAGTTCAGGTTTTCTTTTCAGGTTGTACTAGATGCTGACAATCATCCTACCATCGGTTGACTGCTGAGTTCTCAACAGTCTTGATTGTCCTTCGTAATATTATTACACTGGATCAGGGATCCAGTGTAATAATCCAGTATTAGATCCTACTGAATCCTACTGGATCCAGTAGGGATCTTATATCTTGAGGTTATCTTGAGATGATTTCGGGGCTTTAGTGTCCCCGCGGCCCGGTCCTCGACCAGGCCTCCACCCCCAGGAAGCAGCCCGTGACAGCTGACTAACACCCAGGTACCTATTTTACTGCTAGGTAACAGGGGCATAGGGTGAAAGAAACTCTGCCCATTGTTTCTCGCCGGCGCCTGGGATCGAACCCAGGACCACAGGATCACAAGTCCCGCGTGCTGTCCGCTCGGCCGACCGGCTCTCCTCCCTGGTTGCCAACATCTGTGCCTGCATCTGGCGACAGGTGCGTTTCATACAGAAAAGTTCTCCTTCAGATCACACAATCAACTTGAGAATGGTCCAGGACGGACCGAAACGTCGTCGTCCCTTCACCTTCTAGTGTGTGGTCTGGTCAACATACTTTAGCCACGTTATTGTGACTCATTGCCTGCATTTTTCCTTAAGACTTTAGTTATCATTTGTTATCTTTATCTTGAGTTTAATCACCTGTGCGTCTCAGTAGCAGTAGCCGCAGCTAGCCCAAACAAAGCAGTTAAAGATAATTAATGTCGTTTGTCACTGTTATAGCCCCAAAGTGTCTCGCTAATGAAAGATTGTTCCCATTAGACTCTAGAACCTATACACCAGTCGACTGAGAGTTGAGAGGCGGGACCCAAGAGCATTGGTTCACAAGAACTCCAAAGGACCCGACCAGGATTCGAACCCATGACGTCAAGGATCACCCCTAAACGTACACAGTACCGTGACCACCACACCATTGATTGTATCGTTAATTACTTTTGTTAATGGATCATCAGTAATGGGAATCAACACCATTATTTATATTTTATAAAACTGAGATTGAAGACATATAGATGGGCTCACTATAGCCCATTTGTACGAGTGATTAGTTGATAAATTATTAATCTTACGCAATGCCAGTGAGATTATTAGAAAGATTAAAACTTATTAATTATCTTAACTTGAAACTACTTTAAAAATCTAGGCTTGAGCAGGCGATGAGTCACAATAACGTGGCTAAAGTAAACTTGAGACATCGACTTGAGAATGGTCCAGGACGGACCGAAACGTCGTCGTCCCTTCACCTTCTAGTGTGTGGTCTGGTCAACAATCTAGGCTTGAATTAGTAATAGGGGAAAGTCAAGCCGGATGGAATTGGGTCTTGTGTCTATAGAACCAAAATAGATAAATCCAAGAGCATTACACACTCTTAGCATGTTTTCTATTTTTTGTCTCAAGAAGAGGGCCTTTGAAACCACAATCTACTTATCCATTTAGATCATCAGAACAAACAATCCCTACCAGGTACCACAACCAATCATTGAATCAAAGGGCCATTAAACTCACTCTTTATCAAATCAAAGAACCATCTGATTCACAACATATTTGTTGTGAATCATGTAAAATTCATGTAAATCATTTCATGTGAATCATGTAATCATGTAAAAAACACGTAAAATTTAGGCAAGTCAAAATTAGTGTATTATTAAGAAAAGATGGTATTCGCATGGGAACTATCTATTATATGGTAGCTTGATTAATTGGCTGGTTGAGTTTGATCCTAACTGGAATCTATATATATATATATATATATATATATATATATATATATATATATATATATATATATATATATAATATATATATATATTATATATATATATATATATATATATATATATATATATATATATATATATATATATATATATATATATATATATATATATATATATATATATATCTTTCTGAATTTGGCACATTGTAATGGAAGCCATTCTGCTTGTTATATATTATTATAACAAACAGTTATCTCTGTTATCAGCATGTATATCTACCAACAGTTATCTTATCTACCAATTATCTCTGTTACCAGCATGGTAACAGAGACTGATGGTAGAATAAGCGAGTGTATGTGAGTGTTTGTTTGTATGTCTGCTTGCCTGATGTCTCTGTCTTTGTATCTGTCTGTCAGTTCTCTCTCTCTCTGCAGGCGATGAGTCACAATAACGTGGTTAAAGTATGTTGACCAGACCATACACTAGAATGTGAAGGGACGGCGACGTTTCGGTCCGTCCTGGACCATTCTCAAGTCGATTGAGAATGGTCCAGGTATCTAGTCCAGGTATTTCTCTCTCTCTCTCTCCTCTCTCTCCTCTCTCTCTCTCTCTCTCTCTCTCTCTCTCTCTCTCTCTCTCTCTCTCTCTCTCTCTCTCTCTCTCTCTCTCTCTCTCTCTCTCTCTCTCTCTCTCTCTCTCTCTCTCTCTCCACTTATCCCATAATTTAGTTCCGACTCAATCTATTATAAAATGGTGTTATAAGCAAGATATATTCCTGAGAACTAAAGCCATATATATATAATACCTGAGAGTGTATCTGGGTTAACAATTCCACTACGAAGCCAGTTATCAACTGGCTTCGATGAACTAATTACAACACTGGAGCACTTTCTTGACCCCAATTTATGATATACAACAAGTCATTAGAAGCAGGAGAACTACCATAAAATTAGAAGATATCAAAATTTAGTAGATTAACACCTGTAGATTAACAGGTGTTAATCTACAGGTCACTGACTCTTACCCGCCCACTATACAAGGTGATAGAACACCTTAAAAGAAAGCAGATGTTACGAAAATTAGAGAGAACATTTGTACCACAACACAGATATAGATATATGAGGTAATCTTACCTCGGAAACATACCTTATGTTGGTTGGTTTCAACAAGTATTCGACATGCTTGAATTCTGTAACCAGGCAAAATATATCAAACCGAAAGGAGAAGAACGGGCCAATGTATAAGAGAGAAAAACAGTTAGGGATAGAAGGAAAAAATGTTGCAATGGATCATAGAGTACTTAAGCAACATTGCACAATTTAGTGCAAAAATAATTATATGAGTGGGATTGGGCTCCTATAAATAGAATCAGCCTCGTAAGGGCCAATAGGCCTTCTGCAGATACCTTTGTTCTTATGTTCTTATAATGAAAAAAAATAATGCACAGAAAATTATAATGAGTACTCAATTTACAATTATCAGGGGAAAGCGCCAAGTCATTACGACTATATAGCACTTGGAAGAGATACGGTGATAAGGATTTAAGATAGGACGGGGTTAAGGAATAAGGGACGTAGGGGATTGAACGCAGACCCTGCAAGAGGCGAGACCGTCGCTCTACCGTCCAGCCCAAGTGGTTAGGCAAACAATCAGCTGGTTGAAATGTTGTTATCACAGTGTCTACTAATCTGGGAACCTTGTACACGACCCCATTAAAGAATGTGAGGCGTGGTGAAGAACCCGAATCTCAACTACCGCATTAGAACTGGGTTAGCGCACGTCCACGCACATGCACACACACACACACACACACACACACACACACACACACACACACACACACACACCCCACACACACACTCACACACACACACTCAACCCACATCATAACAAACATACCACAAGAAAATTGCGTGTGTGTCAGAGAGCAGTGGGCAGAAAAACAACAAATTATGGCCAGGTATTTGAAAGAAAATGAGCTAAATTCCACAGCACGCACACTCAACACATGCCACAACACACTCAAAGCATATCAAACACACACTCAACACTTCCCACAATACACACACTCAACAAATACCACAACATTCACAAACGCAATATACATTTAACAACAAACACACACACACACACACACACACACACACACACACACACACACACACACACACACACACACACACACACACACACACAACCCTCCTTCGCTGAGCAACAACTAACACTACTGAGTTTTCCAAACACACAAACACACGAGCAGCAGTGTCCTGCAGTGTCCTGCAGTGTTCTTCAGTGTCCTGCAGTGTTCTTCAGTGTTCTTCAGTGTTCTGCAGTGTTCTGCAGTGTCCCAGCAGACCAGATACAAAAACTAATCATTAAAATAACAGAGCAACAAACCAGGGAGCATTGGAGTAAATTTTTTTTGGCGTATTGCACGTTAAATATAGATATTTCTGTGGATAAACTGAGCCACACTTAAACACACGTGCAATTAACCTGTCCTCATTACTCATCCGTTGTTTTCTCTCACCTCAGGCGATGAGTAAGGAGCAGGTTGGTGAGTCTTTATTCAGGGCACGTGGACTCTTTATGTACACTTTGCCTGCTGGGTGGGTGGGTGGGTTGGTTGATGATCAAGTGGGTGTAGTGGAGATCAATTCCAGTGTAGTTGTGTGTGTGTGTGTGTGTGTGTGTGTGTGTGTGTGTGTGTGTGTGTGTGTGTGTGTGTGTGTGTGGTGTGTGTGTGTGTGTGTGTGTGTGTGTGTTGGGGGGGGGGGGTTATATCATTGTTCCAACATGGAACAATGCAATAACCCAACTAGCCCAACATGGAACAATGACAACTCAACAAACCCAACATGGAACAATGACATACCCCAACATGGAACAAGTACCTAGACGTTGGTTGGGGGAGGGAACTTAAAACACAGGACACCCC